AAGCTACACGTGAAGAAATCAACTTACTGATCCAGCGTTGGGAGGGTTTGGTTGCCAGAGGTCAGTCAATGTGGGAGGGTATTGTCAAAGCTAAACATATACAGGCCACGCCTTTGGATGAATTGGAAGAATTTGAGCAAGAGATGCTGCTTCGTGAGGATGAAATTGGTCAGCTGAATGGAAGGGTGGATCAACTGTTCATACTGGATGATGATGATGATGAGGAAGATGATTGGGGTTTAAGCTGAGAAAATATGTATAAGTTGACCCTTATCTTTTGACTTTTGATGTGTAATATCACGCCCCACATGAGTGATCTGATGTCCCACATGAGTGATCTGATGTCCCACATGAGTGATCTTGTGTCCCACATGAGTGATCTGATGTCCCACATGAGTGACCTGATGTCCCACATGAGGGATCTCATGTCCCACATGAGGGATCTGATGTCCCACATGAGTGATCTCATGTCCCACATGAGGGATCTCGTGTCCCACATGAGTGATCTCATGTCCCACATGAGGGATCTCATGTCTCACATGAGGGATCTCATGTCCCACATGAGGGATCTCATCTCCCACATGAGTGATCACTTCCAACAAAATTGCGTCGCATCTCGGCATGCGCGCTCACATAGCAAGGTGAGATGTGATTTTGTATTGCGTATGTGACAGGCGATGAAAGTCCCATGCGATGTGAAATCGCACAGGTTTCAAGCGATTGAACCTGTCAAATCACATACATGTGTGTGATTCTACCCAGATGCGATTTAGGATCGCGTCTACTCAACGCGACTTGACGATGACGCGATTCTTAATCGCCTCAACTCAATCCGACTCAACCGCTCAAGCGATTCAGGCTCGCGGCACCTCAATGCGACTGAACACCTCACGCGATTCAATCCACTGAATCACTTGAATATCATGCGAAAGGATCTTCTCATCGCTCAACCTCAATGTGATTTAAGGTCACGTTCTTTCCTGCGACTCAACACCGCCATTTCTTGTCGCCTCTTCTCGTCCGATCCAATCCCATTCTCCTCAATCATCTCATCCTCCCACTCCTGATACCGAAAAAATAGAATATATGATGCTCCAAAGTCTTATTTTGCTCTGATAGACATCATTAGTTACAAAAACCAATCAACCCATCCGAGAAAGTAGAGTTATTACCAATGCCTATAACGTCAACAAAAAACAATTAAAGAATGAAATTTAAAAAGAAATAAACATGGCCAGAACAGTTTCATGCCGATGGTTTTGATAAATTATCAACTTCTGTTCATTTGGCAAGAAGTGTGATGAGTTGAGCTGAGTGTTTTGTGATAACCAGCCATTTTCATTTTCAAAAAAAGAATTAGCTCTTTAATTCAGTCAATAAGCTTTGCATGCGCGGAATATGACCGTTCACTGTCTCGTAAAAAGTTAGCGCAACGCAGGTTTGATGAGATG